AGGCCCAGGGGACGGCCAAGATTAACCTGGTGCAAACATATGGAAGGAGTCTGTACCAGACTGCATTTGTCTTTTGCCGAAGCTCAGACTCTGGCACAGGATCGGGAACGTTGGAAGCTCTGTCTGACGTGTCGCGACCCGAAAGGAGAAGCGGCGATGGAAGATGAAGATGAACGTTAAGGAAATGATTACGAGAAACAGTCAATTTTACCGACACAGGAAATTTTACAAGGAAAAAGAGGGAAGGACGTAACTGAGTGAAAGTCAAAACTTGACTGCAAAACTCCAGCTGTAAGGCCGTGCGTAACTTTTACGACTCGTAATTAATGTGAAAAAAAGCAAAGTACAATGGTCAATGTTTCGTCGTTTGTCCACATAGTTTTTCGGCATCCTGGAAATGGCTGTTTATGTGAAATACGCTGGAATCAACAGTGCTATACCTTTCTGATTTCTGGGGGTAAGCATTCTTTCTCACTGATGGCACACTGCGTACAAAACCTTTTCAGGTAGAATATTGAGCACGTTTCCTGAAAGGATTCAATGTTTATCACACAACGCCGTCATTCCACGTTCAGTTCACCAACCGAGTCTGCACACACCGACTTTCCACAAGACGGGCAGATAGCACCAAGTGTGATGAAGTTGATCACTTTGCGAGTACCCGGCTCCGCGAATGGATCTTTTCGGATAAACAGGTCTTCGTTAAATCTTGAAGTTAAATTTGTACATACTATACACGTATATTTTCATAAAACTGACCGAATCTGCGGCAACCAAGGTGGTTCCCTTCCGAAATAGTCGTAGTTCGACGAAAAGTTGCACAGGTAGCAGGTGAACACGTTTTCTTCGGTCATCGTTCAATCCGTACATGCGACAGCAACAACTGATAGGATATCTAGTATGGATACCTTAAAAGCTTTCAGAAGAAAGGTTCAAGGATGTACGAAACAATTTTACAAGAAAAACAACCAACTCGAATATTTTATTTGATACCAGAAACAATAACGCGCTAAATTCCAGAAAAAATATGCAACTCGCATTAGAACCAGCGGCACTTCGATTAATAGATTACTACGAATAACAAAACGCAGTAATGGATATTATTGAGGGCTATGACGATGGCGCAATGGCGAGCTTCTTTTTAAACACGTTCTTAAGGGCAATCACGTCTTTGGCGAATCGTGGGATGCCGTCTGAAAGATTATCATTCGCCAAAGCGTATTTGTTTATCTCCCACCGAAACACTCACTTCACTTGGTCGATGTTCATTTTTTCCCTAAAACGAAAAATTAATAACCAATCTTTCGTCTGATAACTTGCTCTTTTCTAAGTTCAGCTGTTCCTCCAATTTTGAGTACTTTCGGACTAACCAAATTTCAATTTATTTTAATGTCACTATATACATAAGAAAATAAATAAACGTGATTTACATTAAAAAATTTAAAAGCAGTTAGTTAATAGTGGAGCGATAATCTCCATCTGCATTTCATGGGCCATGGGTACATCTGTTGTGTGGCGGACGCTTCCGACTAATTAAGCAAAAACAGACATAATTAAACAAATCTGTTTTTGCTGCTGGTTGCTGCATTCTCTGTTCAGTAACAGAAACGGACTGAGCGATGTTACTTCCGTTCGTCATGTACACTATATCTTTTTTACCATTTTTGAGTTACCAGGTGATTCATGCTGAACTGAAGTCGAAAAGCATATGCATGAGAAATCATGATTATAAATTGTGCAGATCCAAATGAAAATTCAGCCAAACATGCATTCAGACCCGTTTCTTTAGCATACAACTACCAGCGCTAATCAACCACGTGAAGATGGCGTAGCCTTTGGCGACACCAAACGATAAGACGATAAATGAATAGATGAGTCTTATATTGTGGCAGCTGCAATAAGTAAGAATCAGTAACAAGTAACAGAACATGAACATAAGGCGCTTATTGGCAACTAAGTAATTGAATAGATGAAAGAGTAAACAATGACGTAAATAAAACAAAGGTTGAATACGAATGTACGTAAACGACAAGCAACACTACTTAGGTAATTACATATGTAGGTAACTAAGACGAAGTAAGCAATCATGTCAAGAGAATGAGTAAATAAATGAACAGGATTCTGCATAATTACTTGACGAAATGCGGAAGACAAAAATATGTCGACTGGAAAATAAGTATGCAGAACAGCACGTAAACAATCAACTAAATTAATAAATCAGTGATTAAATGAGTAATGTGTAAACAATTAAACGCAGTTAGTGTGTAAAGTAAATAATTAAACAGAAAGGTGAAGTAAACATATGAGCACGTAAAGCTATAAAGAAATAAGTAAATGATAACTAAGCAAACAGGAAAGTATACTTGCAAATAGGCACGTATGCAAACATGACAGTAAATGTGAAAGTAGTACACATTTAATAAAATAATAGTACAAAAATAAACAGGCAACTAATTAGATATCCTTTACTCAGTTCAGGAAACAAGCAGGTACAGCAGTTAAACAAGTAATTGAGAGAGTTGATAGATAGGTAGGCGTGTAACTAATCAAAATAAATAACGGCGTAATAAATTAGATATAAAAATTAAGACTTATGAGTACATAAAATGTGGTGGAAGTACACGCGTGAGTCGTCATATATGACTATTAAAGCATAGTTGACAAGATCTGCTATATCACCTCATCGAAGTGAAATGTAATAAATTAAGAGCAAAAATATTTTCATAATCAATGGATACTCCCTGTCAAGTGCCATAGAACGCCGAATGAAAATAAAGAAGCATAAAAGTACAACCGCACTACATAAAAATGAATGTTTAAAAAGTTTAAACAATGCGTCAACTTTCGTTGACATGAAGCTTCCAGAAGGCGTAGCGGTGGTTTTTTTAATCTCAGCGGACAATGCTGTGTTTACAAGTATATGAAAATAAAACAAAACTCGCTACCGAAAACTGAAAAGTAAATCATAACATACTGACAAAAAGGAAAGTGAAAAAGGGAAAGTACAAAAGAAAGAAAAACAAAAGGAGAAAAATAAACACAAAATGATAACCACATTCAGGAACAAAATTATTAAGGAGACTAAAATAAAAAAAAATATCTGTTTATCTGAGAGTAAGCAGATTGCAGCCGCGCAATCCTTTTATTTGATTAATCATGATAGCAGTGTTATTAATGAAACGTTTGTAACAGTTATAGATGATGATCGGAGTTGGAACACATGAACAGATACTCTAGAGTACGGCAATTTGTAACAAAACTGGAGATATTTACCGGGTCATTTAACATGAAGAACTTTTTCGTTGTGGTGTTGTTCATATACCAGTCATAGATGCGGCCGACGAACGGGCAGGTCAACGCAACACCAGCCTTCGCACACGCAACTTATGGCAGAAATTAAAAATTAACGTCATGTTACACCGGGTATCGAACGTGCTTTCGAATTTCTTAATTTAACAAGATGTGTTCAACGATTGACGGCAACAGGCCAAATAAAAGTCAAAGAAACAACACGACAAAACTGAAGAATAATCGGTCCTTCATAGCCTTTCATGGAGAACAGCTTAAGAACAAGATCACATGGCAAGTTCAAGTGTGTTTTCCTCAACCGTAATTTCCATGACAGATAAACCGACAGTGATTAGTAGAAAGCAAAACTGTGAAAAAAATCTGTGCGCGTTCTTTAACACAAGCTGTAAACTGCAGACGTAGCATCCGCGAGGAACCTGGCAAAAATAACAACAGTTCTGTCGATTGTTTGTAATTACCTAGGGAAGACAGGGTCATTTAGGTATGTCACGACTCTGTGGCATATGAGCATCTGCAGTACCAAATAATAGGTAATCCCGCAGAAATGCTAGCTACAAATATTGCAGATTATAGCCCAAACAAACACACGGAAAATCGAAGGCAAGTTCAGTTTCATATAAATGCAAATATAACAGGCCGAAAATTGGCGAAGACCTGTCTGACATGTTTAACCTTCCTGAGGTGCAATTTGTAATTGTTAATTTCAAAAAGGCATAGAGGATCTTCTCAAAACAAGCTTAGAATCATTTATAACTCACCACAGCAGAGGCTTGTTAGGGAAGCGTAGACCATAGCCATTTTGTTGTAAAATAATTCACCACTGATTTGAACCATATGTGATCAATCTTGACCGAATAAAATCTGTTTATTTTGTGAAGATGCACAAACTATAATTCTTAACGGCGAAGATTTACTATATAATAAAACTAACGTGCTGTAAAATCCTGTAACGAACTTACTACTGTGTAGTTGCAAACGAGAACTCAAATCGCTTATGCGGGAAAGCAATGCAGAATGATAAAAACGTATATTTTATAGAAAATAAAAATATCTGAAGAGAGACATCGGCAACGACCTGTCATCGATGTTGAAGAAAACAAGAAAGGAATTGATGAAGAAGACAAACAATCAGTTAAATCTGTGACAGCTTGAATTACAACAAATATGAACGACTAAATTTATCGCATTTCCATTTTCAGATTATTAGACAATAAAACTACATCGCTTACGTTGTTTCTTTCACTTGTTGTAACAAAATGTCTCCTGAAAATGAACGCTTCACTAGTTGAAAATAGGTTGCAATGTTCTACATAATAATTTTATGCGGCATCTTCCTCTAAGGCATTTTTTTGCTATTTGTGTTGCGTAGAGTGTTGTAGACAGTGGTTCAGGATATGGTACAGTATTGACTGATTATCCTCTGGCAACATTCAGCGCTGAGCAAACAGAAACTTGTGAAATTGGACAGTATCCATTGAGGCGGAAGCACTGGATCAGTGATTTGTCATATTCATTCGTAAACGGTGCATACCATGCGAGACATTTTAAACTTGAGCCGTTGCGATTGCCATATTTTGCTTAACTTTAGAGGACAGGATACCGCAAACAAAGTAAATGCCAAGAAATAAAAAATCATATAACATTTCGCTACCTGACGTCAAAATCGGTCTATACGAGGCCCGGAACGATTTCAAGCTACTCGTGCAGAACAATACATACAACTGGTCGAGCGTAAATGGCAGCATGTCAACAGAGTACCTGAAACGAAAAGACTACTGTTGAGCAAATTCGAGAAATGCTAGGCTAATATGATTTGTGCTTTGACCTTAACCTGCTGTGTTTCCTGGCGTACAAAACAGCGTCATCCAACAGATTCTTTTAGTGTGTCAGTGTAGAATCCAGTGCAGGATTACCGAAGACTCTGTCGTAGCACAGAGAGCTGAACAAAAACAAAGCATCGATTACTCGAAACTAGTCAGAGAAACGGTAAAAATACAATTCTACGTAGATTTACATCCATCCATAAATTCGATTTCTTCTCAACAAGGTGAGCGCAGAACAACAAATAAATTACGCCCTAAATATGCTGTGGAACTACTACGCTACTCGAGCGTTCACGTCATGAACGCAGTCGTAAATACGCGTGGCCGATCCTGGTTTTTACTTGCGCGTGGTTCACACGCTGGATTTAAGTGTTGAGTATTTTCACATTATTTAATATACTACACACATTCACTATATATTTGGCATTAGGTTGCTGCTCTGAAAACCGAGGAGTACGGTTCGAAAGGCCAACTATCGAAATTATTCATTAATTAGTGTTCATGCTCAGTCTACTCATTTATAGCCAAACAAATTGTATACAAGTTACCCAATACTCTACTCTGAATAGAAAGATCATAAAAATTATGGCCAAATACTGCAGAATACTGTTTAAATTAGC